CACAGAATGATAAACTCAAAGCCTTTATATTGAAGTGGATGCCACTTGAAGATATACTCATAAGTGAAATAAACCAGACACACATGTGTAAACATTATATAGTCTCCCTAGTGCAAGAACTGAAAAGAAGAAATAAAAATAGAAAGGTATAACACAATTAAAAGGAAAGTGAGAACCTAAGGATTAAACAACGAAGAGAGAGCAAGGAGAAAAGCTAGGAAACATGACAGGGACAAAACCATACATTTACATCCTTTCATTTGTTTTGTTTTCACTTTTTATTAATACATGTTTGTAGTACACATATAATGAAATAATCCTGTGCAGCTCCAGTAATTGTAGGGGGTTGGTTCATGTACCTAACCCATCTTAATTCTTTTTGATACTTTTGTTTCTATGTTGAAGTCTTCCATACGACAAAAACAAAAACATGAGCATTGCTTAGTGTGTCGAAGAGAGTCATTGACACAGTTTTATTAAAAGTCCTTGAAAACTGTCCCTGTCATTAAAATTTACACCAGCCAAGAGTTGCTCTAGCCCCTGGCATGCACTGAATAGGCCCCTCTGTGTATCTTCAGAGGTAATAATTTTGGAGAAAGCTAATAGTTCATTTAATATCAAATAATGCACCATGATTTTTGGTATGAATAAAAGCAGAGCAGGACTGTTTATTCCAAAAGTCACACTGACCTGAGCTTAATCAATGATAGTCTTTGTACTTTATATAGTTAAACGTGCTGGTGCTAGTGGATGTCTTCCCATGGACACTCATGAAGGTCAACAGGTCATAATGTTGAGGCAATGTGGCAGTCAGCAGAAATTTTAACTGCCACATTATCAGGCACAGTGCTTTGAATCCTTGCCTCACATTTTATTGCAGCTGACCAAGAGAGCCAGGAAAGTGTTTTTCTCCAATGGCTGACTGTATTCAGACTGTATTCATTTCCTTATTAATTTCACAAATGTTAACTGAGGATTGACTATGTTCCAAGAACTGGGCTGGGGATAAAAAATTAGGGGCAAAAGAGTATAAAAGTTAAAATTAACCTCATGGATAATGTCCTATCTGTGAAGTTAAATAGGTGAGTAATTCACTGGCAATGGTTTTATATTGCTGACAAATCAAAATGCTCCCACTCTGAAAGTAGAAAAATAATCAAAGGAAAAAGTAAGGTGCAAGTCGAAAGGTCTTAAGAGAGAGTTAATCTAAAGGTTTTTGTTTTGTTTTTTTGCTAGTGTTCTGAATTTGTACGATAAAGGAATGACCTTGTTATTTTGTACTATGTAGTGTGTGAAAATACAGATAAATATTAATAAATTATTCTTGGCATTGAACCTAAAATTCAGATAAGAATATAATTATATTAATTCAATATATTAATGAATTATTTTTAAAGGTGGCATAATTTCACCCAATTTTAGAACATTACCACACAAATCAGGGTAGTTTAGTTACCTGTTTCAGTTATGTTGTAAATTGTGAGCGTGATTGAAAAACTTACATAGGTGTAACAAAAAGAAATAAGTATTTATAAAGTGAGGCCAGAGCATATTTATTTCATTAATACAATAATCAAGACAGCATTTTCACCTCTTTGCTATTAGAGAGTTCAATTCTTTGTAGCTTTTCCAAGTTTGGCCTAGGTAGAAACCCACATGAATGGAGGAAAGAACAGAGAAATTGTGGTGTTTACACATAATGGAATAATACTCTGCCATAAAGAAAAAATCAGTCATTTGCAGAAAGAACCTTGAGACCAATGGATGAACCTTAGACCACTAGGAAAAGTGAAAAAATCAGCCACATATGCTTAAAAATCACATCATTTCTCTTATGTAAGAAATCCAAAGTGTCAATAAGGACAAAATAACTGAAGGATTATAGGAAGAGTCAATAAATGGAAACAAGCCTATAAACTGATAAATGAATTACAAAATTGGAAAAACTCATGATGGGATGCTACCGAGTCCTGACTAAAGGTGAAATCCCGTCATTTGCAACAAGGAAGATGCAGATGTTCGGTGTGTGAGCCGGAAGCAGCCTGCGGAAGGCCACATGACACAATGCTCCCTCCACGGACAAGAGTGGAGAAGCAGCACCTCGCCCTTCCAGGGCGTCAGCATGAGGGCAATACGATGCTTTAGAAGTCCTATAAAAACACAAGCTTAAAAAAATTTCTCATTCATACTCTTGAAAGGTGGAGACTAGATTAGCAAATCTCATACTATATTCATTAAATAAAGAAAACCACAATGGTAGCTGCTGCAGTCACAGCCCTCCAGCTAACTGAAAAGTCCTTCAGGAGTCAAATCACTTAAGTATTAAGTTGTAAATTTTTAGTATCAATGAATAGTTAATTAAATTCAATTAATTTTTGTCTTTTCAGTTTTCTCAACCTACCGGAACACAACTACTCGGAAGCTGCCTGAAGTGCTGAGGACACACCCCGAGAGTCACAAGGGCTGCTGAGCTAGCCTGTGTTGGCCAGCTCACCGCGAGGGAGAAGTCACTGCACCAGCTTTCAGGATTGCCTAATCAGCATCCATCACTGAGAGCCTTGAAGGGCAAACCCACAGACAGGATCTCAATATTTAGTCTCTCTGTCTGTCACTTTCCCAGGATTTTATCTCTTGATTTTCTTCATTTCTTACCATCTGGTAAAGAAGAATGGATAGAAAATTTAATAATTAGTATCGGTTAACCGTGATGCTCTTGAGTGGGATTAGTTTCACAGACAGGGAAAAAAACAAAACAAAAACGAATCTCTTTCCTTGTGTGTATGTGTAATGTTAGTTTTGTTGGACTTTTTGTAGCCAGGGTTCACAGGAGGTTGGCTGGTGGTCTGCCAGTAAACTTGCAATGCCTGGAAAATATTTTACTGTGCAGGATTCCTCTCTGCCAGCAAAAATCTCTGATTAATAGTGTTTTCTAATTTCCATGGTGTAAATTCTCTTGCTGTGGCTGATATGGAATGAGATTGAACTTGGAATCGGGAGCTCCTGAATACAAACAGATCTTTTCTGGCATACATGAGCCTTGGCCCCTCACGGCAGTTTACTCCTGAGGAGGATGAGGAAAGGGAAATGTTTATGTTTGTAATAGACAGGATCAGAGGGTTTTATCCCCAAATCCTATTTAGCCAATTGAATCTCTCACTATGTTATATAGAGGTACAGTTTAACACCACGTAATCCCATAGAAGCACACCTTCTGAAAGATAGTTGAGCCAAAAATTTCAATCAAATATGTCTTGAAACTTTTCAGCTCTGTTGTCCTTTCAGCTCTGTTGAAATTCTGATCCTGGCTCCATAGAAACAAGGCAGTAATTTTCTGTGTGAGAAAAAGTTATGATCAGTATGATTGCAGGAAAAATGTACTGCTTCAAAAGAAGATAAATTCTGAAAAACTGTATTTCTTTTGCTATAAAGTTTTTCAAATGTTTTGCATTTAGTTATGGCATTTCAAACTTTTTCTTACAGAATTTAGACCTGAATGAAACTGTATATAAATAAGCCATGTTGAATAAAACACTTTACAAAGACTAAAACTATAATAGTTAATTAGCTATTATGTTTATTCTTGAATATTAAAATATACTTTTCAATTTAATAATTTTATTACTGTCAATGGAAATTACCAAAGTCGTAATCATTAGCAGCATTTGGCACTAAAATCACAGAAAGATCACTGGGATTTCTTCCCAGGAGTGTTTACATAATATCAGACTTCTAGGCCCAATACTGTTTTGTTGCCTCTTTAATATTGAAATTAATTTTTTTTTTACTATTGGTGTTTGAACAAGAATTCTATAAATGGAAGTTCTCTATTCAGTGTTTCAAGTCATTATGAAGTATTGACTCAATGTCTCTGCTTTAAATATTATGCTATTATCTATTTAGATATTACATCATTTCATGTTGTAGGAAATATTTTCAGATCAAGGATAAGAAACATATAGATGAATTATTTGTTTAAATAAGATTATTGAAATTATATCCTTTATTCGTTTTAACTGATACTTAGGCACTGAACATATTTATCAGTTTCCATGTGAAAACTTTATACATAAATACTATTTAATATTCAAATCATAATTAACATTATCTACTTTTTCAAATATTTATCATTTATTCACAGTGAAAACATTCAATATTCTTCCATTTTTCTTTTCAAATATATAGTACATTACCACGAAGTACAGCTTCCCAACTCAACAGAATGCCATAAACTCTTACTCATTCACAGCCTTTCCCAACTCCCTGACTCCCTCCCGTATCCTCCCAGTTCTCAGGTAACTGTCACTCTAACTTCAAATTCTGTGAGACCAACAAGAGTCCATTATTACACAAGGCTAATTTGTCCTAATGCTTACTAAGGGCCCCTGTATTGAAGGCTTGAGCCCAGCTTGGTGCTTCTGGGAGATTATGGAGCTTTAGGCTGTGCGGTACACTAGAGGGCATTGAGGTCCATCAGTCGTGCTGTGGAGGAGGCATGGGGACATTAGGCCTCCCCTCACACCTTTGCTCTGAGGCCAGGAAGTGTCATTGCTTTGCTAGACTCCCAGCGATGCATACTGCCTGGGCCAAAACTGTAGGACCTCAAGATCAGGGAAATTCATTCTTAGAAAGTTTATTACATTGCTATTCTACAAGCATTCAAAATTTGAGCTCCAAATGCATTCTGGACTTCCTTGACTAAAGAGAAAATTTGTTTGTATAAGCAAGCAAATCTCCAGGGAGTTGAACAGGAAATACCGATGTTCCCTAACAGTGGAGTAGCCTGTTCTGAGAATGCTGTGAGAAATGTTCAGGGATGCTGTGAAGTCAGAGTGCAGGCAAGTTTGAGAAAACAATTTTACTTTGAAACATAGAGACCTTTAAAGAACAAAGAACAAAGAAAAAAAAAAACAGGGCTTCCTTTGACAATAATTGAATCTACAAATAACAATAGCACTTGAGGAAGAAAATAATCATGACCTACTTAAAAAAGACAGGTGAAAGGAACTGGGGGTTGTGGAGAAGTTGACCAAAAGGACAGCAGCAGGGAGTACCAGGAAACTGCAAGACTGAACAGTGCTTTATCTAGGGGTAAGTTGACCTGAGAAATGAAAGTTTTTGTCTATCCTTTGGTATGACCTATCTCCACTGTGTTCTCAAAGTCTCTCTCTGTAGTGTGCTCATTATGTTGGTTATCTGTGCATGAAATGCGTTACTGAGTATCACAAACTTGAGAGATGATGGGGGAAAATACAGGCTTGTAACTATCTGTTATCATTCCTTGGCGTGAAAAAGACTCACCTGTAGCTCAGGGGTTGCCTTGTACCAGCTTCATCATGTGAAGTGGATGTAGGACTTGTGGTGATCTAAATTATAGAGTTAAGATAGATTTAATAAGGTGTGTACTTGTGTGTCTTGAGCTATTCTGATTTAGTTATTTCTTGCTTGACAGTCAAGTGGTAGCCTACTGCCCCTGAAATTAAGGCGCAGGCCCCAGCATAAAACTCATAACCCTTAATCACAAGAATATTTGAATGCCAAAGGATGAATTACCATTATCATTACACAAAACATTAAGTGTTATTCACTTCCCAAAACAACAGAAATCATTTCAAAATCTTACAGTGCACACATTAAACAAATCTTATGGATATGTACATGTTTTAAAATAACTTTGGAAATGTAAAAATATATTATTGCACCTATTTTTGAGTGTCCTCTTTAAAGGCAAAACTAACTTGAAAAAAATATCATGTCTGCATCTTGTACTCTGAATAGCTACTATGAAGACAACAATATGTAATGTATTAATTATTGTAACTGTCTTACTTACCTGTTTTGAAACTGTCTCATTGCTATTCCTTTCTCACTGAAAGTGATGAAAAAAGAAAATAATTGTTTTAAAAAGAAAAGAATATGTTACTGTTAAATAAAAAGACAGACAAAAACATTTAACTAAAAATTTAAGAAAATTTCTATTACACAGGTCGAGTGGGTAGTTAACTATAAAATTTGTTTTATTCTGTGAATGTTGTGCTGATTGTGTTGTAGAGCCTGTAACTTCCTGAAATCAAATGAGAATATCAACAGAGTACACAGAAGCTGTGGGACACGGCAGAGGCAATTTCAAGAGGGAAACTTATAGGTGACTGCACTAGGAAAACAGAGACCTCAAGCAAGAAACTTACAGTTGAAAGTCTTAGAGAAACATGAACAAATCAAACTTATAAATGGTACAACAAATAATACTGGTAGAGTCAAAATTAATGCAATAAAGACTAAAACACTAGTGCAAAGGCTAAAGAATCAAAATTGATCCTTTGAAAAGATAAAACAGACATACCCTTATCCTTATTGATCAAGTGAAAGAGGTAGAAAGATGAGAATTAATAAAGTGACAGGGGAAAGGCAGGATATTAAAAAAGATACTGTTAAGATCTAGATGATACTTAGGACTATTTTAAAAAACATGTATTAAATAATCTATAAATGAATAAATTTTAGACATATAAGACCTACAAAGTTAGAATCATAAGGACACCAAAATCATATATAGTCCAAATCACATGAAATTATAATGAGCCATTAGCAAAAAGTCTTGCAGAAAAAAGGCAAGAACTTTCATTGCATTCATTGCTAGATTTTATCAGATTTTTAACAAATTAACAGCTGTGCTACTCAAACTATTATATGAAATACAAAAGGAACAAATATTTTCAAAGTTATTGTACCACACTGAAATCAAACACACATCAAAAACTGCAGACCAATATATCTGATGAATAAAGGTGCAAAAATAATTAATATAATGTTTTCAAACAGAATTCATCAACAAGTTAAAGAAATCACATACCATGATTTCATTCCAGGAATGGAAGGATGGTTAAATAGATAAAAATCCATAAATAATGCACCAAATAAATAAAATCAAGAATAAAAAGCACAAAGTGATCTCAAAACATAAATCAAAAAGCCCTTCAACAAATTTAATGTCATGGTAATAAAAAGTTTTAAAAATTAGGTGTAAAGAGCTTCATCTCATTTGAATAAGAGCTACATCAACAAATGCAAATCCAACATCATACTATGTGGGGAGAAAATGAAACTCTTTAAAATCAGGAATACTGCAAGGATATTCACATTTACCACTACCATTCAATATATTACATGTAATTTTAGTCAGAAAAAAATAAGCAAAGAGAAAAGAACGAAAACATAAAGGAAAGAAAGAAGGCAAATTATTCCTATTTTCAGATGATGTGTTCTTATTCTTAGAAAACAGTAAAAATGTAGTAGAAAGCTTTCATGTACAAAAAATTTAGCAAAAGGATAAGATGGAAATCTACAAAACTTTTAACTCACAAAAATCAAAAGCTTTACTACAAACTAACAATGACCTTGCTGAAAAAGCAATCAGGAAACCAATCTCATTCAAAAGAGTTTACAAATATAAAATACTTGGAAAAAATCTAACTAAGTAGGTAAAACACCTATTTGATGGAAGTAACAGGATCGACAAAAGCCATTGAGGAACACAGTGCAGGGTGAAAAGGTGGCTTATGCTTATCTTTCAGCAGAATTCATTTTGTTAAAATGACCTTATTACTGAAAGTACTCTACAGATTTAATGCAATTCCCACCAAAATACAAATGACAAGTGCCGGCCAAATAGCTCAGGGGATTAAAGCGCTTGCAAGCAAGCGCAGGGACCAGGGTTCCATCCCCAGGGCTGCCATGCTGGGCCCGCCACCAGGGCACTCTGAGACAGCAATTAAGGCTGGGCATGGTGGCACATACCTGTAATCCCAGCTCTTGGGAGGCTGTAAACAGGCAGATCACTATGAGTCCAATATAGTAGCATGACCCTGAACACCCCGTAGACCCTTCCCTAAAATAAAAGACACATTCATCTGATTTATTTTACTTAGTGTCTAGTTGCATCCATTTATCTGCAAAAACCTTAAATTGACTTTTTATAGCTGAGTAATATTCCCTTGTGTAAAAAATACCTTATCTTTTTATCTATTCCTCAGTTGATGGACATTTGGGTTGTTTCCCAGATATAGCTATGACAAATTATGCTGCTATAAACACAGGTGCACATATATTGCTGTGTTATGATGATTTCTGTTCCTCTGTAAAAGTATCCAGGAGAGAAATAGCTGATTTGAATGTGGTCTCCAATCCCAGCTTATTGATGAATCTACTTACTGATTTCCATAATGGTTATACCAGCCTGCACACCATATTGTACTGCTAGTGTGACAACCTGAAAGAGTAAATAAAATCATAAAGGTACAATGGATACTGTGAAAGGGAAGGAATTTATTACATGGGAAGAAAGAACTGGAATGAGGAAAAGGACAAAAGGAAGAAGGGAAAAAAGATATATTTAGGTATATATGTAGGATAATACTTCTGCTGATTTCTGCTGGTCTTTTGAAAGGAGTAGTTAATGCTTAAAATTGTTTTCTTTTTATTTTTATGTTTTTCTCTTGAATTTCTTATAACCTTTTTGCTGTTTATTTTGTTTTATTTTTTCTTTAAACAAATTTTGCAGATTTCCAGCTGGTAACCTAAACAACTAACTTGAAGATAACATCATGCAATACAGCAACAATTGTTCAATTCCTATGACTTTGTTTAATGAAATTTTGTATCATGTCTAATGTTATTTTTTCTAATATTGTTTTGTATTCTTTAAAAAAACATACAAATAACAGTTGTCACACAACTGAAAAGATGTTTTAAAATACTTATGAAAACACAAAGACCTGAAGTACCCAGAACATTCCTAAGCAACAAGAGCCAGGCCATCACTACTACTGACTTCAAATTATACAATGCAATCATAGTAACAAAAACAACATGTATTGGCATAAAAATAGACACAGAGACAAGCTGAATAAATTAGATGACAAAAAATAAAAACACATGCCTAAAGTTATCTGATTTTACATAGGTGTCAAAAACATGCATAAGGGAAAAGATGGCCTCTTTATTAAATGATGGGGCCTGCGCATTAGCTCAGTTGTTTAAGTGCCTGATTCAACAAAGCAGTCAGGCTTAGGATGCTGTGGTTTGATGCCCAGATCCTCATGCCTTACCAGACCTGCCTTTAAGGCATCCTGAGCCAGGAAAAAAAAAATCCTTCTGAACTTTAAAACAAAACAAAACAAAAAAAAAAAAGAAAGAAAAATGGGCCGGGGAGATGGCTCAGTAGAAGAAGCGCTTGCCTGGCAAGTGCAGGGCCTGAGTTCAATCCCCAGCTAAAAAAAAAAAAAAAAAAAAAGCAAAGGCAACAATTCCTGAATAAGATTCTAATACCTCATGAAATAATAGAAAGAATAAAAAAAAAAAATGGGATCGTATCAAGATAGAAACTTATGTACTGCAAAAGAAACAATGAACACAGTGAGGAAACAGTCTACAGAATGCAAAGAAAGCTAACAGAGAATCAATGTCCAAAATAGATAAAGAACTCCAGTCCCTCCTACAAAATCCAATCGATAAATGAACCAAAGAACTGACAGCCGTGCGGAACAGCCAAAGGCAGTCCAGCGCTTCTCTTTCGGGCAACGCCTCCGAACCGTTCCTCTCTCTTCCCGTAAGCCATCCCCAAACCCCTTGAGCAGCTCGGTCAGGCAGTCACAGCAAGGAGCCCACTTCTCACTATCAAATTCTGTCTCAGTTACTTTTCTCTGTTTCTGAGACAAAATGCCCAACACATAAAATTAAGGTCTATTTGGCTCACAGTTATTGGAGGTTTCAGGCCATACTCTTCTGGCTCCAAAGCAAAGTGGCACGTGGCAGAGGACAGTCATTCTTAGTGATGGAAAACAGCAAAGAGCAAAGAGAGGAGCAACAGCTGTGGCCACTAGCAAGCCTCTCCCTTCCTCATATTGTACGCAGAGTGACCATCCAGGGAGGGTTTAGCATTCACACCCACAATCCCTGAATTGGATCATGAATTAATCACAACTCTAGAAGCCACCCCAGTGGCTGCCTGAGGCTTGGGGGCGGGGGAACTAAACACAAAGCATAACAAGAACTAAGATTTGAACTAGAAATATCACTTCTAGATATACACATAAAAGAAGTAAAGTCAACCTACTGCACAAGCAGATACACACTACATATTCATGCCTATTTTTTTATATTCATGCTTATTACAACGTAACTCACAATGAGCAGTTTAGAAATAGACTAAGTGCCATCAGCAGTTTAATAAATAAAGAACATGTGCTACACGTACACAGTGGGGCGTGAGTCAACCACAAGGAATGATGACATTGTGTTATTTACCAGAAGATGGAAGGAACCAGCAATTCTCATGTTAAGTGAAATAAGCAAGATTCAGAAATATGAAAACTTTGTTTTTCTCATATGCGGTATCAAGATAAGGAGAGAGAGAAAGAGACAGACAGAGAAGTAGAAAGGAAGGGCAATGGGAGAGCATTCAAAGGAAGGAGGAATGGAATCCTGTGGTAGCGTGGGGGGAAAATCAAAACATGTTGTATGTATGTATAAATGTGCCAAAATAAAACCTGTCATACAACTAGTATGAACTACTAAACATGAAAAAATCATTTTATTTAACAAAACTATGCATTTCACTTTTTTATTTATAATTTTTCATAGTTTTTTCTTATAGAAATTCTAAACATTTTGCCTAATTGATATTCATGATTTTTGTATCCGTGTTCTTAAAAAATAGTACTCCAAGTTATTTAATGTTCAGGGTCTGAAAGACCTAGCTGCTGTCCTTTTCTTTTCAAAATAGAAAATCCCTGTGGTTCGTCCTACAAAAGACAACTAGAGAAAACATTCCTGTATTTGAAGAAATTGGTCGGAGAACTCATCACCTGACAGGCCCAGGCCGCTAACTGGCTGCACCTTCATCTCTGTGCTGGTTGTTCTCCATCACAGCTTAGTCTTTTCCATACTGACTAGTTTCAAACTCAATAAGTTTGACATTGTTCTAAACTATTTTCTTGTTTGTGTACTCTGGTGTACCCAGTAACGTCTCAATTGTCTTTTTAACTTTTTGCTTACCCATTTAGAATTCAAACTACTAAAATTATGAATTTTATGTAACCACAGTGTCTATATTACACTCAAATATCCAACAGCTAGCCTCCCTTTCATTTTTCCTTATGCCACTTATACTTTGACAGAGTTTAATCCATTTGTATCACTGGATATTTATCATTATGGATCTCTATTCTTATTCAGGACAAGTTTATTGTACAATATTTAGCGATCTCTTAAGTATCTGTTGCATCACTTTTAATATTAAACACTTGGTAAGGATACTACACAGCTAGCCAGGTTTGCTGTTTGCATAATACTTTTGCAAAACAAAGTCAGTATCATGGCTTGATATTCATGACAGGAAGTTGGATTATTTTAGTATGCATCTAGGTGCTATTGTAATTGTACCTTTAGTGACTGATAAGCAATCTGTGTATGTGTGTAGGGGTGTGGCCTGACACTTTCTACCCATGAAAATATCTCCAAAATGATTTTTGGGTACTTAGAAATGTTGAGAAAAGATCTAACTACTCACTATATTCCACTTACTAAGTACTCTATTAACTATCCCTTAAGGGAACAAAAGGAAAAAAGGATTCTAAGAAATTCAGATATTAAAGCAGGGCCAGGCATGTTGTCTTCTAGTAAAATCATCATATCTAAAGGCATGTGCTTTGGAAGTGCTGGGATTCATTGGCTAGACATGCAGATTGCTGCGTAGTGTCTGCCTTGCCCCACGAGCCACACCGCACGATCCGTCTAACACTGGCCATTAGATCCAATGTTCTAACCTAAATGGGCATTAGTTCCAGATTTGTGCTTTGCTCTTGGGCTGAATCAGTTCCTTTCTACTAAATTGTGTGCATCCACATTTTCCAGGAAATACGTCTGCACCACTTAAATGAATTCCTGGTGACAATGTCCCAGCATGTTTCCGAAGTGCACCAGCTGCCCAGGGCTGTTGGGACAGCTGAAAGGTCATATTCAACTCACTGGTCCACACATCCCCTTGTTTGATTTGACAGTCTCTGACATACAAAAGCTCATGAGGTTTTTGTTAATTAATGTATTTAACCATATTAACTGGAAGAAATGTATCTTCTTTGGACCTGTTTCTTCCAGTATCTTTTCTTACCACGGCTTTTCGGGGACATAGTTGCTGTTATCCTGAATAAAGTTCTTCAGAGAAGAACAACAATTTATGCTAGAGACTGTTAACTAGCCATTTACCTGTGTCCTCTGCTGCTACTGCTGCTGCAAAACTGCTTCTTTCCTTGGTGTGTCATAGTTTTGAAATCCTAATGAGGTTATTGGCTTGCTTCTTATTTTTCACACATAGATGGTTATATCCAACATTCCGGTAGCTTAGGATCCCTTCCCAGAACATCAGTATTCCAGACTTATTGTTCCTGGACTATTTTAAGCCCAGATCTCATTTCCTACTATTCTGCACTAGTGTTGTGACGGCAAAACATGAGAAACGTCAGCTTTTCCTTCTTGAGGTGACACACCGACAGTCATTTAGTTTGATTAGGCTCCCTTTGAGAGATGCTTAAATAAAAAATACAGCTTTTCTTTTTAAAAAAAAAATAGTTAAGAAACTCCATCAATAGCTATTTTAAAATAAATGTGTTGAAAATAAAAAGGACAAAGAAAACATTAAGGTTAATTGAAAGGAAGACTGAAGGTTTAATTGGTTGATTAATCTTATATATCTATACTTGGTTGACTGAGTAATAAGTTTGATGATAACAGTATGTAATGTAACAACCACTGTTAATATTCTTCCTCTGAAATTCTGTACCATTTATGCCATCTAACATTGCTTTGTCTATGTCTTTGTTCTTGCTATTTGTTCTAGTTTTTGTTTTTGTTTTTCCTATTTAAAATAAAAATAAAATAACTCTATTATCCATACAGTAATTTCTTTTCCTTCAAAATATTTTCTTTCATCTTGTAACCCTATTAGCAAACAGAACAAAAGTAATAGAGAAAAAATTTCAATGTTATTTTTATCCAACAATTGAAGGTGTATTTCAGTTTTTTATTTATTTATTTTATTTATTTATTTTTTATTATTTTTTGACATCAGTTATTTTTATTTTAAAGAAAAAAAATAAAAACAATGGTAAAAAATCTCAAAACAAGATTTTAGGAGAGTAACAATGGTTAGTGCATTGTGTATTGTTACTGCCAAAGTACTTTCTCATATTACAAGATATAGGCAAGAAATAATAAGCAAATAACATAGGTACAAACCTCTTTTTTTTTTAAGTCAACAGAAAATGGAAATAAACTTTTTAAAGTTT